AAAAAACGTGTGTCTTTTTATTTGTGTTCATGAATATCAATACTGTGATAATTTCAAGTTATGTAATGCTTGTCACAATTGTATTGATATTCATGAATACAAATAAAAAGACACACGTTTTTAATATTGTGACAAAATTCACTTTATACTCAAAGCACTCTAAGAGTTTTAATAAAATAAAAAAGATGCCGTTATATATAACATATATAGAGGAAAAGATAGTATTATTGTACCCTATTTACATTTTACAATAACTTGATTAATGATCAATATTTAAATTCAAAACTTGACAATTACATTTGTAATCAAAATGTTGTCTAATCGATTTTAAACTCAAAGTTACAAAATATTTATTATTTAAAACGCTATTTATAAAAATGTGGCGACACTGCATAATGGCTTGAAAAGAAATAGGAGTGGTGATATGACCTTCCACAAAAATTTAAGGAATTAAACAAAGATTTAAGAAATTAAAAATTGTTTAAAAAACAATATTTGGTTATACAAAATTAACATACATAATTAGAAAAATGAAGTACTATAGAGTGTATGTATAATGTATTATACATAACTCCTTTCGCACTTCCTTTCTAGGTTGCTTATATAGTACTAAAAATCTATGTATATTCATACATTTGTGATAAATAATATAAACTAAATATAGATTAACAAGAGCTGCAATCGATTTATGGAACAATTGGTTTAATATGAAAAATTTGAAAAAGATACTGTCGGCATGTTTAGGAGGTCACATTAACAAAATGCCATACTATTGTTTAACTTTGCATAACTCGAAATGTATACGGCTAAATAAAATGTTAAATAACGTGCGTCTCTCTGGGCGGTTTTATCTCGCCACTCGCTTGCATTTGGCGGTAGGTTGAGTGACTTTGGAAATTTTCATAAATTAATATAACTCGTTAACTATTGCGAAAAATGCAAAATGGTAAAGAACTTTTCTACTTACAATTAGTAGTCCATTCTGCTTCTATGCGAGAGTTTTATCATTAATTATCAGACACCCTGTATGTTTGTGTGATAATACGCTCAAGTTTAAGAAGAATGAGGAAGTATAATTGAATGCTAAAATATACCTTAAAACATTTCAAAAATGCTTAAAAGTAAAAATGCATTATAATAAATGCTGACTATTGCATATTAGCATATATAGTATATTAGCGTTGATAAGTTAATAGTCATAGTAACTGCAAGTTACTGAAAAAATTTCATAAGTATAATCATTATAGAATTTGCTATCTAATATTAGCGGAGATATTATAAGAGAAAGGCCATTACATCTACATTGGCCATAATATCATCATCTTCTATATGTACTTATACATATATATGTATATGACGAAATTATTTCCATTATTAAACATATACTTTATCAGACTTTTTAACATTAAAAGCAGATTTAAAACAATAACATATTTTTAAATTGATTCACAATAAATCGTTTATTACTATCGAATAAAGGAAGAAGACAGGAAGAAAACTTTCATCAAAGCGATTCACAAATAAAAGTTATGTCAATTAGGTCAAGGCTTTTAATAATCAACGATAGTTGCTAAATTGAAGCCTTGAATAAACAACTCGCTATAACCATTAAAAGATTAAAATTATTCAAAGTATATAAATGTACTGGCGTATAATTGACCATTTTGAGTAAATAAAACAAAATTTCATGAAGTGATAGAATTTTTTCCTTCATATTTTTGAAATATTATTTTCTGCTTTTTAAATCTCAGCTTTACGGAGAGAGAGAGAGAGAGAGAGAGAGAGAGAGAGAGAGAGAGAGAGAGAAAGAATTAAATTACAAAAAAAGAAAATAGAATTGAATTTACTTTTTTGAATAATCAATTCTTGAGTACTGTTATTTATTTTTTTATAAAAAAAATAGAAGTTTATAACAGATGTTGGTGTTTATATTTATGTTAATAAATGTTGATGTTTATCGTACAAATTTCATCTAATCATTCACGATATTCGTGCAATATTACACATACATATGTCTATGTTACATGTTTTGGTTTAATGGAAAAGTCGCACTGTGCCCGTTACACTCTGGCTTGAAACGGCCCTGATATGTATATTATAGAGTGTTAAATATATGATAGCAAAACACTGTTTGGAAAAAACTATAATCTTTCTGCCCCTCGTTCTTAAAAAGTTCTTAAAAAGTGTGAGTTGGACGTCATCCCGGAATCAGCAATTTGGTTGCACGCATACCTATGTACGCATACATATACATTTGTCTAAAATATATATCTTTATCCGGTTGATGTAACGTTTCACTGGAGGGAGGAATAGATGGCAGTTAAAATTGATAATCGCAATCTCGCCTTGAACTTTGACTTTTTCATCCGAAATCATCAATTCGTTTTGAACTGTGTGTAAATTAATTATAATAAAGCTCATTATAAATTGTTTATAAATAACAGAAATGTCCTTTGTTACAATAAAATAAAATATCAGACAATTACATTAAATTATACATTTTTTATTAAACAAAGTTATTAGTTGTAGTAAATTAGTTATAGTAGCAAACTTCTGTTACATTCTCCAAGATAAAATATATATTATAATCTGCATCACAGAGAGAGAGAGAGAGAGAGAGAGAGAGAGAGAGAGAGAGAGAGAGAGAGAAAGTCGGTATGCTTATCTGGAATAAGAGATTTCCTTTCGGAGAGTTTCTCTCTACTAATAAATTATTGTAAATCTCAGTATACGAAAGCATTCTCTGATAAGATGTATTCCTTATCGCATAAATTTGTAGGAAAGAGTCTAATATCTCTTTTCTAGAAAAAACTATAAAAGTAGCGTTATTATTTACAAGTTGAGCTTGACTTAAAATTTTTGTACTCTTAGCGATTATTGACTTTACGGATTGTTAAATTTTATAATCTATTCATTTGATCCTATTAATGGGTTATTAATTTTGGGTTGCTTATTTTATTAATGTTGATTTATTAATGCTGCTAATCATCCTACATTTTACTGCGTTCCTAGTATATATATACACACATACATACACACACGCGCACGCACTCACGCACACATATGTGTATATAAGATTTAGCTTAACTTGGAAATACGATCCGAGATGAAGTATCATGATTTTTGAAAAACAGTTAAACTTAAGTTAAAGTTTCAACTTAATATTAAAATCATAAATTGAGAAAATATTTTTCAATTATTCTTTCTCTCTCTTAAAAGGAAATAAAAAATATTTGATATTAAAAATTTTCATAATCATTTTATAAAAAGATTTTAACAAAATATTTGCAAAAAATTAAATATTATATGCTTTATAACAACAATTGTAAATGAAGAATTAAGTATCGCGCGTTTTTTAATAAAAAAACAATAATTAATTTTAATTTCTTTTGCGATAAATATAAAATTCTTGCTAAATGTATAATAACAATTTGTTCATCCAACTAAGTAAAACGTACATACATAATTGTGCGTGCGTGCGTTCGCGCGTTTGCGCGCGCGCGCGCGCGCGCGCGTGTATGTGTGTGTGTGTGTGTGTATCTACACATTACGAAAAGAAAATTAAAATTTTTTTAAGCTAAGTTAGGTGTTTATTAATCATTTCAAATTTTAACAAAAAATTTCATACATATAATACATATGTATGTACATTAAATTATTAAAGTTAACATATATATCTCAAATTTCTCTGCAGGAAAGATTTATTAAAGAGAGATCAATCTATTATTTTTTAAAGACAACGTCATTAAAAATAATTTTACAGAATAAAAATCATAATCACCATGAAGAAATAATTCAATATAATATTATAATAATGAATATAACACAATATAAAATAATCACGTAAAACTTGAGTTGTAAATAGCAATAAGCTCCGTTTCTTTTATCTATTTTCATTATTTGTATTAGTCGAGCAACAATTTAGGAAATAAAATTTAAAAATGAGCTTTATATAAGTATTTGAAACAAACACTTTCTGAAAATGTCGAGCATCTTGAAGTAAGCGCAGATTCAAATAAGTATATATAAGTATATGTGTATATGCCTTCTATGCAGCGAGAGAAACACAGGTCGTTGTCGTCGAAGTGAGATAATAAGCACTTTGCCCCCTTCGATAAGAAATGCCTATAAAAGGGAGTATAATCTTCCATCCTACGCATCAGTTGTTTCCTAATCGACCACGAAGAAAATACCAGCGGGAAATGAGGTACTTACTTTCGATTATCTTAGCCGTCCTCTTGGTCACAACAGAGGGCAAGGTTGTACCAACTAGTGATGTCGAGAATCAGCAGACTGATACGCAACCTCCTCAATTGTCCGACCACATCAGAGAAGCCCAAAATCTCATCAACAATTTGGGCGCTCAACTTCAACAGCAGCTAAATCAAAAGGATCTCAATACAGCTATTAAGGAAGGAACTACTAACTTAGTCAGCAATGTCCAGATGTTCTTCAAGAACATGTCTGATGAGGTAAACTCGAACCATTTACACACGCGTGCGCGCACACACGCACACACGCACACACGCACACACGCACACACGCACACACACACACACACACACACATTTTTTACATACTTGGTACGTTAAATATGTGTTTCATTGCAACTCGACTAATTATAAGCAAATGTTCGAGCGATTGTTAAAATGCATTTTGTATTTCGATATTTCAATTTTATGGAAATAATTCCATTTGGTATGTACAACTCTTTTAAATGTAGACTCTTTTATATGAAGATTAAAGGCTGACTTATTTATTCGCAGTATCGGCGCGCTACATTCTCACTATACCTAGAGCATATAAGATGTATATTTTAGAAATTAGAAATTAGAGATAAAAGAACATCGCCGCACCGGCTAATTTTTCACATAGAGTGTAGAAGTAGAGGATTGTTTATTCTCTGAATCAAATTGGCAAGAGAAAAGCCGACCAACTTATTAATTCTCTAAATAGATCCTTAAAGAGACAATCGATGTGAATAAGCAAAAGAGATAATCGCGATCGAAATCGAAAATGAGTTTACAGTACAATTTATGTACAACGATTCAAAATATCGATGCGTTACATATAATACAACAAAAAGTTATAATCTTATTTAATATACAGTAAGTGCAAAAAGTATTCGTACAGAGAAAATATTTTTTAAAAAACTTTATTTTTAAAAAGTAAATATTATCCAGCGAGAAATGAGTCATCGAATTAATGTTAAATCAATATCGATACGATGATTTCAACACCAATTCGACGTCGATTCGACGTTTATTGACGATCATTTCTTGCTGGGTAAT